AGCGGTGTTGAGCGGAGCGGCTTAGTGAGAATTAGAGCGGAGGAGCGGGCGGAGCCAACAGCCTCGTGAGCGAGGAGCGGAAATTCTCGCCGCTCCACTCCGCTCACAAGCTCTGGCACACACACACTCACTCTCTTGGTTTCTTTCACCCTATAACTTTGTCTCTTGAACTTTGCGCAGAATGTTTACTGCGTCATTAAATTCCAGCAATGGAAAGGTCTTAGACCAGTGGTGTCCAAACCTTTATTATAGTGAGAGGTACTTTTACAAGGAATCAAATAATCCGGATGGTTCTGGGAGGGGGGCGTTCCCCCTAGGTATATTTTGCCAGTCCGTGGGAGGCGGGGTTATCCTCGATATATTAGATTGTAACTTGTTTTGCAATCAACTACAAATGTCTTGGCGATCGACTGGTTAGCCACCACTGTCTTAAATCATTCTTTATTGAATTTGTATCTCTTAGGATCTGCTGTGCTTTGGCTAGCATTGCTAACGCTGCTGCTAGCATAATTGTTACCTCCTTCTGAGACAATGTCATCCTGGGATGCATTTTAACTTTTACACCGTGAAAGAAGTATGCATTAGTCATATAAAAGTTAAAATGCACAGTAATTTCTTGTCATAACGGTAACAGCGTAAAATATGTGCGCATTTGCACTATTATGGCAAGAAAATGCTGCATGTGTCTCTATTTGGCGAATGCATACTTGCACACCAATTATCTGCATCTCTGATGTCAGCTCCGATCCTCCATGACATCAGCATCCCTCTTAAAATGAGTATTTGATTTCACTTTTCTTTAGCTAGTACCAGGTCGTTCCTGATAGGCTTCAGTCCTTTAAGTGTCCGTCACTGAGAGTTATTTTGTGGAGCATGAGTGACAGTTACTTTGTTTCCAGAACTCGGCACTGGATCATTAACATTGTGATGCTGAGATACTAGTTTTAACCCAGCTAACAGTTTCTAGTAAATTCAGTGTAGATTTTCAAAAAGAAAAGCACAACCGGTAGTGGTGATGTCATGCCTCAGGCCAAATCACACGATCGCAAGGGAATATTTTTTTGTAATTCACTCATTAATTTTTAGCCACATGTTCAAAATGTCGTACTATAGAAGCCTGCCTCAGTATCAGTTGCATTCTCAAAATTATTTTGCAGTTTTAGATGATTTTTCTGTGCTCTTGAATTTAAAAAAATCATAATGTTAGTGCAGTTTGTTTTTCGGCACCTTAATTCTTTTTGTCCCTTGACTGCACAGATGGAGAAGGATGAGACTGTGGGAGAATCTTCTCCGCATATTGCCAACATTGGCCGCCTTGTGGAGGTGAACCATCCTTTAACTTGGGGGGGTGGGGGGTGCCATACTATAGGATTTAATTAATATTGATTGTTTTGTTTATCGAATTACTTATGAGTCAGTGTTTATGTAATGTGTATTTATGTTTATTCTGTTAGGATATGGAGAATAAAATTCGTTCTACCCTGAATGAAATCTACTTTGGAAAAACAAAGGACATCGTCAATGGTCTAAGGTATGGATTAAAGGTTTCACTGTACTATTAGTTCAGTATCATAACTGTACCCTTTTTGTTTTTTGCTGATCACTGGCCATTTGGGGTACAGTACAATTTTACTATCTGTGTACTGCTGCCCAATTCTGGAATGCGTACACCCCCAGTGTTAAGTACACTGTTGAGTATTTTTTTGACCAGTCACTGTGTTGCTAAGATTTACTTAAACTGAAAGAGATGAGAAATTGGACATAAGCTGAGAAACTACCAGTAGGCCTATTTATGTACGATGCCGGTGTGCAGACACCAGTACAGGGTGGTAGAGTGAGCAGGACATTGGTTAAATCCTCAGATGGGTAACCTGTAGGTTACGTGGCAGGTGGGGCCTGCTTATGTTGCCATGAGGTGCACTGTAGTAATATTTACGTTTTAATTAATTTTTAATTATAGCTTAATATGTCAGGGCTATCAAGCCATTGTTACTATGCCCCAGCTTTAATTACTTAATTTGTAATGTTTATGGATTTTTGTAGTTTCATCTTTTTAAAAAAGGGGAGAAACTCTTCACTGGTCCTGTTCTTGGTGACTAAATAAAAACTTAAGTTTTGGTAATGGAAACCCCATTAAAGAGCACGCACATGGAGTCTTAGCGACACGAGGAATCTCTCTTATTTCTAGAGGTTTTATACCCAGTATCTCGCCCTCCCACACACTCTCTCTCTTACCCTTTTCCCTGCTATATGATTTTTTTCCTTCTTACCCTGATTCTGTATTACTTCCTGTCCTTCTTTCTCCCCTCCGTCTCCTTCCCTCGCTCTACCTGCCCTCTTCTCCTCAGATCTATTGATTCTCTGCCTGATAACCAAACATACCGTCAGCTCCAGAAGGAGCTCTCCCAGGTCCTCACCCAGCGCCAGATCTACATTCAGCCAGACAATTAGGGCTGGAGGTATATCCTGTCTCTTCAGGGCCTCGAGGCGCTATGTGATTGTGTGGCTGTAGGCCTCAGCCAAAGGCTGACACTAGAAGACTGGAATGGGATTTGTGTGACTTCTGTTTCAGGAGGAGAGTTGCCATTTTGTATGTCTGTTTCATTGACTTATTGAGGTTGAAATATCTGGCTTTTTCTGCCTGCTGTCGGGAATGCTTACCTGGTCACTAGTATGTCATGTGCTCATCGGGCTGTGCTGTATGGTTCTGCTTAAGAAATACATAAGGAATGGATTTTGTTTACATGTCGTTCTGAGTTGATTGTGCTTATTCTCATGGTACTTGAATGTTCTGTATTTCTTACTGACAGTGCTTGAGTGTTAGGTTGTGTTATAATTAATGTGTTATTAACCGCATAAAAATATATTTTTTTTAACTTGGCAAGATGCTTGTGCATCGCAGGAAAACCAGCATATTTATATGGCACTACCCCCCCCCCCCTCACCAGGAACCTTCTCTTACGTTTATCTTGCTTACTAACATCAGTTTCCAGGTACAAGAATGGTTCAGTATCATTTCTCACTTCATATGAATTCATGTAATTGTTTGCCTTGTCACTGCATTCGTGCCGCAAATTGTGGGTCCATTGAATTTGCCTTCACCCCTTTGCTGTCCTGAAGATCTGTCTTCTGTCTTTCAGGAGTATACAGACACTGGCAGACAAGTCAATGCAGGAGGCTCTGAAAAACGACCTGATGGTGGCGCTCAAGCGCAAACAGCAGAGTTAGAGCGCTTTGTCTTCATTTCTTTGTTGCTGTTCTTCCACGCTTTTTTTGTTTTGTTTCACCTCCTATTCAAAGCTCTTTGTTCATATTTCCCCTTCAGCTCCCACACTCTTGTCATTGCTCTCATCTTCAGCATTCATTTAAATGAACAAAACGCTTTTTAAATGAGTCTTATTGGAAATGTCTTTTAAGTCCTCATTCTCAGTTTTGATAAGTTATAAATATCGGTGTTACAAATATTCTACACAGTATAGTAACAATGTTAACTTCCTAATGCTCATGTTCTGTTTGTCTCTGGGGGCAGTGATACACTTTTCCCACATAGGAATTTTGCGAGGCATATAAGGGACGGCTGAGTGGTTGGGTGACGCATACAGGTCATTTTCACTATTTATTCTTGTATTGAATATATATGACGTATTTTTACCCCGTATCTCCTTGAAAAAAGTGCACATCACACTTCCTGCCGTGAAGGGGTCGGCAGTACACGCCCAGTACCGACCCATTACGATCATTGTTATCATCACTGTACTTATTGGGAAATTTCTGCCTTTTGCTTTTTCTGTTGTGAATGCCTGGAGTCATGGGCAGGCAAATGGGACAGTGAATGAACATATAATGAATGCTCCTTTTATTACTGTTTGGGTCTTGAATTTCTTTGTCTTGGGGGGGGCTGTTTTGGTTTCTATTTAGGTACGTGTTTCTATTTTTTTGTTTTGTTTTGTTTTTGTAAAGCTTATTCATGAAATAGAGCCTCCCACTCCAATAAACCCAGGTTATTATATGGCAAGATTGTTGATGTATCTTGAGTCCTTACATCATACTAGCAGTTGCAATATATTTTATTCAAAGAGTTGATGAAATGGTTATTGATGAGCACTCTAGTCCATCCATCTTCATTTACATTTATTCAGTGTCAGGCCTTGACAAATGTTATATCTAAGCCTGATTTGAAATTTCTTTGGAGGGGAGGGAAATCTGAGAATTTCATTTAAAAAAAAAAAAAAGTCTTAAGTATGTGACAACTACAACCCAATCCTCAAACCCCAGTTGCACCATCCCTGTCCTCTGAATCTATTCCCTCTGAAGAAGGTGAGTCAGTGGGACTCGGTAGGTCCTCAAAGTGCTCGGAAAGCCTTGTACTGCAGCCTGATGTGTCCTTTGCCCAGTCCTGTCCACCAGTGAGTTTGGGGTTTACTACTGCGACAGGTACCAACAGCCTTATGGCCACAGCTCTGCACAGCTACTTTAACGATAGATGTACAGAACATTGTCCATTCGGGCTAAATGTTTCCAGCCTCCCTCAGAAAACAAGAGGTCCTGCTGGAAGTGTGAGCTGATCTCCCCACCAGGGGCCTCTGCCAATCACTCCCAGCATACTCTCACTATACATTTGTATCTACCAGGTCTATCCTGCATTTACCCCTCAATTTGATCCTACTCACCGCCAGGGAGTGATCAGTTGACAGCTCAGCACCTGTCTTTACACAAATGTCCAGGACATAGTCACATTTGGGTAAAGAAGTATGTGAGATGACTGAAAATCATTCAGATACATAATTACATGTGTATAAACTAGCGTTAACAGTACTGAGGTCCAGAGTTTGTGTTAGTCTGTTTTAGCAGGGGGAACCATATATTCTAGCCTTAAAGTAATAATGTTTCCCCTTCATAACTATGCACAAATGTATGACTGATGGCTGAAAAAGTGATTCAGATACCTGTTTGCTTGTAACGAGATTTGTATCACCAGTTCGGTGTTTTGTACTTTCCGTATCTGTATTATCATAGGAAACCGTGCATCATAATGTTTTAATAGAACTGGATTATGCTTGAAAGGGCACAACGACATCATTGTCAGCAATAATTGATAAATGATCATCTTAAAAAAATACACAAATATCGAAAACACATCCAATATTTTTGCATGAATGGTTTAACTTAAAACCAGCATAGAAAGACGTAGAAATGACAGAGAAACTGTCTAACTACAAAGTAGCGGGTTGCGTGATGATTGAAATCAGCGCACGACAGGGTGACCGTTGAGGAGCTGAATTTCCCGGGACACCAGCCCAGGAAGAGCGATTCAGCATAGTAGCGTGTTTAAAGCGTAATGCCACAGGAGGGCGCAGTTTGAAATTTGTTTTGCATACTCTCTCACACAAGTGGGGGCACATGCGTCACTATATATGCTCTCCAGAGCTCCACTTGAGAATGGTATTTAATCACTGCCGGCGCCCCTCAGAAGGCGACGCCCTAGGCGGTCGCCTATAGCATTGACCAGTGCTGCCAGGAGTGGCATTAAAACCCAGCCAATAACAGGACCTAAGCCACATTATAAGTAAGTAAGAGAAATTACACCTGACTAGCATTCAAGAATGAAAAACTCATTCAATGAGCACATCTCTCATGATTTTGTTACCTATACATATATAAGACTAATCAACAATGAAAATGCAAAGGCTTAAAACCATTAGTTTAAAAGGGGGATAGAAATGGAAGAGCTGTTACAAGTTGCTATCTTGAGACAGTCCCAGTGGATGGATCATGCAGGTAAAGCAACACACTTAAAAGAAAAAGTATTTCTGAAAATGATGTTGTGTATTCCCAAACGCCTTGGAAAGTATTTCAAACTCTCCCTAATTAATTTACGTAGGGAGAAACTGACGTTGACTCTGGTTATTTATTAAATTAGCAAATGTCGAAATATCCAAAGTATTCTATAGTAACACTCCGCTCCACGGACCACAGACAGTATCAGGGTAATGACTCTCATTAGTCATGATTACCTCTGTCTTTTTCCCGTTTTTCCTCTACTTCTTCTTTATCTTTCCCTGTCACCAGAGGGCTTCGGTCTTTTTGACATGATAATGTCTATTTTAATTAGATATTAGTAATTATATCACGATGTCACGCGGATGTGTGATACGGAAGGTCAGCGGGCAAATGAAGAAATACCTATTATTTATCAAGATTTATTTAATGAGCTTTTTATTATTTCTTAATAATAGCGTGGAATAGTATTAGTAAAGAAACATAGTAAAAAAATTTTTTTATCATTTTACTCATACTTCCCTTTCTAGCCTTTGTGGTGCCCTATACTATACTGCCTATGCCATGACCCTGCCCTTCTATTATCTGTTATTAAACAAGCGGAACAAAGTCTGCTGGCTGATTTATTTACAGTAATTTACATTAACGGAATGCCTGTCTTGCTGATTTCGTGGTCGAATGTTTCAATAGAATGGGTCTATCAAGCGAAAGACAAATATCTTAAACAATACAACTGAAGACGTAAACAGGAATTGTAATTTATAGTCGAAAAGTATTGGATTTATCTTTTGATCTCAAGCGCAAATGTCTTCAGTGTATAGCAAAAACAAATGGATTAGCCTTGCCGCAGAAGACTGAAGTTGGCTGCTCCTTATTCTAAATTTCTGTTCCACTTCAAATATGTCGAGGCGAACTACAATGACGCACCTGTAGGGGGAGACATTTACCGAGGAGCATTTGATTTTCGATTCGCATTTATTTATAATAATATAATTATAATTGATACTTTATTGAGTCTTGGGTTGATATCTTTTTATCACCTCTCTTGGCCTACATATTGGTACAATAGCCTAATATATAGCCTACAGCATGGTATGTTTACAGAAACAGCATTTGTGCATCTGATTAGAAAATGAGATAAACATCATCATCATCTTCAACAACAACAAAACATCCCCTATTTGATATCCAAATTATGAATTTCGGTCTGTCTAGCCAATAGCTGATTTTGTAGATGAAAAACATAATGGCTCTTTTTAATCTTATAAACACCCTGTAGCATTGTACAGAACTGCTCTTTATGCACATTTTCTTACATCCATTCAATATTATATGCAACATGAAATTGATAAGCTGTAGGCTATTTGGTCAAACAGAAATTTCATATTTCATACATGCAGCCTCTAAAAAACATGCTTCAGTATGACAGCAAATTAAGTCTGAAATTAACCATTTGTTACGTGTCTGGCCAAAGGTATTTTTCACCATCAAATCAGTCTGGCAACCATGTTCATGCAGATACTAGTTGATGTTATTTAACAAATTTAAAACAAATTAAGTGTTAAATAAGTTGAAATTTTTGAGCCACTGAAAACACACTTTCACAGTTCACAGCTTTTACATTATAATTTTAGAAGCTGGGTTCCCCTGTATAGAGTGAAATAGAGGTGGTCGGCAGCTTCACAGTGCAATATTCAGCAAACATATTTTAACATCTAAAACATGACTAACAAATATATACACAGTAAACATACAAAAGTTCACTTCTTCTGTTTTCTCCATAGCACCACAAAAATCACAATGAATACTACTATTCTTATCCACCTGCAAAAGAAGTTAATTTCTCTTTAATCTTTTAGTTTTTTTTGTTGGCATTCAAGAGCAGTTGCTTCTCAAAATTGGCATCATCAAGTCTATTTCTTCTGGGCCTAAGTATCTGACCACCAATGCTGAGAAGCCTCTCCACTGGAGACTGTTACTAGACGGAAGTGTGCTGTTGTATTTTATGGCAGCTGAATGTATTCCCCAAACCCATCTGTGGTTGGTGCATCCAAATACAGTAAGTGTCCACTTCTGTTTTTCTAAGGTTCTGTGGGTTTTGGTTAAACTTGAAGAAAGATGCTGCTGTGTGTTTATTGCCAGTGATACCACTGGACTGAAATCGATCAGAGCTTCGTGCTTCTGAGTCATCAAAGTTAACAGTTTCAAATTCATGTTTCAACATTGCTCTGTACAGTTTCTCCTCCTCCTCCACCCAGTGCACTCATCCAACAGGCCATTCAGATCACTGCGCAGTTGCACAATGGTTGGAGCCAAGTATCCAGGGAAGACATTGTTCTCTCCCTGGAGGATGTTTAGTGCAAATGCTAAGGGCCTCATTGCATCCACAAACAAGTGTATAAAGCTAATTTGCTCTGCAGAAAACCGGCGAAAACCAAACTGATCACACACAGTGTGCAGGATAAGGTTGTCATACAGGAATGGCAGTGCCAGCAGCCTCACTGTTATCTGCCCTAGGAGTTAACTTTGCTAAGTGAGACAGTCGATGCATAGCAAGATACACAGAGTTCCATCGTGTATCATTTGGAAACACAAAGCTGATCCCAAGCTTTTCCTCAACAAAATCTGATGCTTTAGAAAGTTTAGAGCTTCATTTAACCCTGTTCCACAAAGCAGATGCCTTTGCAAAAACAGCCATTGACAGTCTTTGGCAATGAGATTTAAGGTGTGAGCCATGCACCTTCTGCGACTGGGAAGACGGGGATCTGTAAATGCTGAGAGAGGCTTAGGCTCCATGTCATCATCTATGTCCGAACACTCGCTAGCAGCAGGAGGAGGATCGGTAGATCCTGGTTCATCAGTTAATCCAACGTCATTGTTAAGATAATAATGCCTTGTCCACAGCAGACCAGAAATCTGCTGTTGTACACATAGTATCAACTTCAGCAAGTTCAGCTATTAAATCAATAATATTCTCCATGAATGCATTACTCAGCATTTTCTATACCTGCTTTCTTGAGGGCACATGTCTGGATGGCAGCAAACCAGTCACCAATTTGCTGAATGATGGCGTTTCGACTGTACTTAAAGGCTGCAGGTCGCCCATAATATAGTTCAGGACAAGCTGAGTCAGTGCAGTGTGTAGGAGATACTAGGAAGGGTACTTATGGGAAAATTCTGTTTGTTGACTACAGCTCAGCATTATATATGATAATTCCTGAGTATTTTAACCCCAATGCCA